CACTCTAACATCACAATTAAAAGAACTAGAGAAGCAAGAGCAAACACATTCGAAAGCTAGCAGAAGGCTAGAAATAACTAAGATCAGAGCAGAACTGAAGGAGATAGAGACACAAAAAACTCTCCAAAAAATCAATGAATCCAGGAGTTGGTTTTTTGAAAAGATCAACAAAATTGACAGACCACTAGCAAGACTAATAAAGAAGAAAAGAGAGAAGAATCAAATCGACGCAATTAAAAATGATAAAGGGGATATCACCACCGACCCCACAGAAATACAAACTACCATCAGAGAATACTATAAACACCTCTATGCAAATAAACTGGAAAATCTAGAAGAAATGGATAATTTCCTGGACACTTACACTCTTCCAAGACTAAACCAGGAAGAAGTTGAATCCCTGAATAGACCAATAGCAGGCTCTGAAATTGAGGCAATAATTAATAGCCTACCAACCAAAAAAAGTCCAGGACCAGATGGATTCACAGCTGAATTCTACCAGAGGTACAAGGAGGAGTTGGTACCATTCCTTCTGAAACTATTCCAATCAATAGAAAAAGAGGGAATCCTCCCTGACTCGTTTCATGAGGCCAACATCATCCTGATACCAAAGCCTGGCAGAGACACAACAAAAAAAGAGAATTTTAGACCAATATCCCTGATGAACATCGATGCAAAAATCCTCAATAAAATACTGGCAAACCGGATTCAGCAACACATCAAAAAGCTTATCCACCATGATCAAGTGGGCTTCATCCCTGGGATGCAAGGCTGGTTCAACATTCGCAAATCAATAAACATAATCCAGCATATAAACAGAACCAAAGACAAGAACCACATGATTATCTCAATAGATGCAGAAAAGGCTTTTGACAAAATTCAACAGCCCTTCATGCTAAAAACGCTCAATAAATTCGGTATTGATGGAACGTACCCAAAATAATAAAGCTATTTATGACAAACCCACAGCCAATATCATACTGAATGGGCAAAAACTGGAAAAATTCCCTTTGAAAACTGGCACAAGACAGGGATGCCCTCTCTCACCACTCCTATTCAACATAGTGTTGGAAGTTCTGGCTAGGGCAATTAGGCAAGAGAAAGAAATCAAGGGTATTCAGTTAGGAAAAGAAGAAGTCAAACTGTCCCTGTTTGCAGATGACATGATTGTATATTTAGAAAACCCCATTGTCTCAGCCCAAAATCTCCTTAAGCTGATAAGCAACTTCAGCAAAGTCTCAGGATACAAAATTAATGTGCAAAAATCACAAGCATTCTTATACACCAGTAACAGACAAACAGAGAGCCAAATCAGGAATGAACTTCCATTACAATTGCTTCAAAGAGAATAAAATACCTAGGAATCCAACTTACAAGGGATGTAAAGGACCTCTTCAAGGAGAACTACAAACCACTGCTCAGTGAAATAAAAGAGGACACAAACAAATGGAAGAACATACCATGCTCATGGATAGGAAGAATCAATATCGTGAAAATGGCCATACTGCCCAAGGTAATTTATAGATTCAATGCCATCCCCATCAAGCTACCAATGAGTTTCTTCACAGAATTGGAAAAAACTGCTTTAAAGTTCATATGGAACCAAAAAAGAGCCCACATCTCCAAGACAATCCTAAGTCAAAAGAACAAAGCTGGAGGCATCACGCTACCTGACTTCAAACTATACTACAAGGCTACAGTAACCAAAACAGCATGGTACTGGTACCAAAACAGAGATATAGACCAATGGAACAGAACAGAGTCCTCAGAAATAATACCACACATCTACAGCCATCTGATCTTTGACAAACCTGAGAGAAACAAGAAATGGGGAAAGGATTCCCTATTTAATAAATGGTGCTGGGAAAATTGGCTAGCCATAAGTAGAAAGCTGAAACTGGATCCTTTCCTTACTCCTTATACGAAAATTAATTCAAGATGGATTAGAGACTTAAATGTTAGACCTAATACCATAAAAATCCTAGAGGAAAACCTAGGTAGTATCGTTCAGGACATAGGCATGGGCAAAGACTTCATGTCTAAAACACCAAAAGCAACGGCAGCAAAAGCCAAAATTGACAAATGGGATCTAATTAAATTAAAGAGCTTCTGCACAGCAAAAGAAACTACCATCAGAGTGAACAGGCAACCTACAGAATGGCAGAAAATTTTTGCAATCTACTCATCTGACAAAGGGCTAATATCCAGAACCTACAAAGAACTCAAAGAAATTTACAAGAAAAAAACAAACAACCCCATCAAAAAGTGGGCAAAGGATATGAACAGACATTTCTCAAAAGAAGACATTCATACAGCCAACAGACACATGAAAAAATGCTCATCATCACTGGCCATCAGAGAAATGCAAATCAAAACCACAATGAGATACCATCTCACACCAGTTAGAATGGCAATCATTAAAAAGTCAGGAAACAACAGGTGCTGGAGAGGATGTGGAGAAATAGGAACACTTTTACACTGTTGGTGGGATTGTAAACTAGTTCAACCATTGTGGAAAACAGTATGGTGATTCCTCAAGGATCTAGAACTAGATGTACCATATGACCCAGCCATCCCATTACTGGGTATATACCCAAAGGATTATAAATTATGCTGCTATAAAGACACATGCACACGTATGTTTATTGCAGCACTATTCACAATAGCAAAGACTTGGAATCAACCCAAATGTCCATCAGTGACAGATTGGATTAAGAAAATGTGGCACATATACACCATGGAATACTATGCAGCCATCAAAAAGGATGAGTTTGCGTCCTTTGTAGGGACATGGATGCAGCTGGAAACCATCATTCTTAGCAAACTATCACAAGAACAGAAAACCAAACACCGCATGTTCTCACTCATAGGTGGGAACTGAACAATAAGATCACTTGGACTCAGGAAGGGGAACATCACACACAGGGGCCTATCATGGGGAGCGGGGAGGGATTGCATTGGGAGTTATACCTGATGTAAATGATGAGTTGATGGGTGCAGCACACCAACATGGCACAAGTATACATATGTAACAAACCTGCACATTATGCACATGTACCCTACAACTTAAAGTATAATAATAATAAATAAATTAAAAAAAAAAAAAAGAAGTCATCCTACACTTGCACTGGTTTCTCCTGCCTGACACCTAGACTGCATAGTATGTCGATCACTACTTCTGATTCTCTTTCATTTTTCTATTCATTCATTCATTCATTCATTCAATCAATCAACAAACACTTATTACATACCTGCTATGTGCCAGTACTTGGCATAAGCACTAAGTATCAATGGTGAACATTACATACTCCCTGCTCTCCTACAGCTTAAAGCCAAACAGGGAAGACAGACGCTAATCAACCTGTACATGAATAAATAATTACAGAGATTTTGCAACATGGTTTGAAGAGCATATGAAAAGTGCTTCCTGAAGAAATGGGACTTAAACCGGGAGGTAGAAGAGAAATCAGAAAGGTGTGGCAACATTAACAACATGAGAGATAGCTATAGGAGTTTGCGGGGTGGAAGTTACTAATGACCTTAGCGAAAGTTTTGTTGGTGTGTCTAAGGTGGAAACCAGACTGGGAGTGCCCTAAAGAGACAATGAGTGAGAGGTGAAGAAATGGAGACAGTAACGAAATAAAAAACCCTTTCAAGACATTTAATGGTGAAGAAGAGGAGAAGGGAATATATGCTTAAGAGTGAGGGTCAGAGGACAAAAATATAAATATAGTAGTTTAGCTTTCTGTTATCTCAGCTGTCCACATCCATCTCTACTTCCAGTGAAAATAGCACGGAAAAAAAGGTACTTGTCCCAAAGTGAGTGAGTGTGCTTGAAAAAGAACCAAAGCTGCACTCTTATAGGAATATTCATTAGGTAACTTTAATATATGCAAACTAATAAAAGTTCTACCATGAAAACCCATCCTTTGGACAAGGCAGCAGCTTTATAAAATATAATATAATGACTCATTTTTACAATGAAATTTTACTGGTGTTTCAATTAAAAATATATTTTAAAATAATATTTTCCCAGATACACTGAATATGGTATAATTAGGCTAAACACATATTGATTCAAACTTATTATCTCAAAATTCTGTTATATGAACAAATCTGTGTGCTAATGGGGCACACTAACATTCAACTAAAGTGAATTGTATAGACACATAGCATTTCACTGGATGATTACTTTAAATGTTTAGAGAGAAAATTAAATCTTTCAAGTCACTAGCAGATTATTCTTGCCCTGGAAATCAGCTGATGCTGTTGCTGCAGTGAATAAAACAGGCATTTGTAACACTGTAAAAAACTAAAAGAATAACTTGGGGATGACATTTAAAGAGTTCTAGTCCCCCTTGAAGCCATTTCTATCAATATAGTTTTAGGCATCTATTTTTACTGCCATCAAAAGGTCTCTCACATTCACATTAATTTTATAAGGAAGCAAGTTACTATTATTACTACTTTATTTATAGAAAAAGATTACTCTGCACTGTAACTAAATTGGCTATTTTAAAACTTAAAAAGTTAATAGGATTTTGTTAAGTACCTAACACTACATTCATGGTCATCTTCATCTGAGAGCCACGAAGAGCCTGATTCCGGGTGTCAAATAGATTGAGCCACAGAAATTGATCCAAGTACCTGTGTTAAATATTTTCTCTGCTACTGTTTCCCTTGACATCCTCCCCTCTGGCTACTGTCTACGAAGAAAGTAATTAGAAAACAGCATGTCTAATAAACTAACAGGCAAGTCACTGTTGATCAGATATGGAAATCACATTCTAAGAAAACGGAAAGAAGCCGAGCCGCACACCTGATTGTGTTATGTGAGACCCAATGACAAAAAAAAAAAAAAAAAAAAAAAAAAAAAAAAGATTACAAGCTATTAAAGTTTGGGTGCTGATTTTCTTTTTCAAAACCTGAGCAGAAGAAAAATGTCAGGGTTGTTTGGAAGCACCGAATTACAAGATCCAGACAGCCAACTAGAAAATCCTATTTGCAAAATAGCTCCCACCAGTTTCTTTTATGTCCGAAGTGAGACTCAGTTTTTGGCTAGAAAATACACTCCTGTCAGCGGTAAGGAAGAGGAATGGTGTCTCTCCCCCTTTTCAGAAACACCATTCCCTGGATGAATGGACAGCAGGAGCGCAGTCTCACAGACGCAGGACTGACCCGAGTACAGTCACCGTCTCTCTCCCAACCCTGAGGGGGGACAATCCCTTTGTGGCACCCGGGAAAGAGAGTATCCAAACGAGCTGGTGGGAGTCTGGCAGCGTGGGCAGCAGCGCGGCGACCACGGCTCCGGGCGCGAAGGTGTGTAAGGTAGGCGGGGTGAAGCACCCAGGAGCGGAGGGAAGAGCGCTGCACCCTCGCTAAGTCTAGCCGCGCTGGGCGCGTATCTGGGCGGCCCCAGAAACCAGCAGAGGCAGACTTGGGCCCGGGCAGAGCAGGAGGTGGGCAGAGCCCGTTCCCCCGCTGCCGTTACCTGCAGCAGCAGAAGCGCAGCCGCTGGCTCTTGCTGGATCCGCGCGTGGGCTGCCGACTGGACAGCAGCTACCGCCTCCACTGCCTGCACCTGCGACTCAGCGGATCCCTCTTTGGACAGGGCACCCCCACTCCGGGAATCCCAACGCCAGGAGCCATCCATGGCCATGACGGGGGCTTCTCGGCACCCGACTGGGACGCCCAGCCAGCTCCTTGTGGCGCTCGCCTGCCTGCTCTTGAGTCGCCCTGCGCTGCAGGGACAGGCATCCTCGCTTGGGACCGAGCCCGACCCGGTGCTTTACCTGCACGCCTGGGGTGCACTTGAAGGCACTCGCCCCGACGGCCCTAGCGTGCTGATTGCCAACCCTGGACTCCGGGTGCCCTTGGGTCGTTCCCTTTGGCTCGACCCGCTCCGGGACCTGGTGATTGGAGTGCAGCCGGGGGACCGGTGCGAAGTCACGGTACTGGACGCCCTGCCGCTGCTCAAGGGCGCGCTCTCCCCGCGCCGCTTCCCCTGCGCCTTCGGGCCCCGCCAGGTCCAGTACACTCATTTCGGCTCCCACAGCCCCGGACGCGCCCGGGTGCTGCTGCAGCTGCGCTACGACGCCCCGACTCACACGTTGGTGCTGCCCTTCACGCTGGCGGTGGACGTGGTCTTTTCCCAGCTGGAGCTGGTGACGCGCAACAGGCCTTTGGTAGTGGAGAAGCTGCAGGGCTGGAGCCGTGCCATCGACAGGAGAGTGCTGGACTTCGCCTCCCTGAAGTCCAGAGCCACGGCCACCCGCAGGTGCCGGCTCACCCCACTTCCTCACGAGGACGGCCCCCTGCCCAAGTACGGGCGCTTGGTGGACGCGATGGGGGCCCCTCTCCCCAGGGGCAAGCGCGTAGACTGTGAAGCTTTCCTCCGGGCTGGGGTGCGCTATCAGCACACCGCTGCCTCCTCGCCCAACCGGGACTACTTGCCAATGATGGTGGAGCTGCTGGGGCCTGAGGGCCAGGACGCTGGGTCCGCGGGTGTGCTGGTCCGCGAGCACTTCCAGCTGCTGGTGAGGATCCTCGGGGGAGCCAAGAACACACCGCCCAGACCCAGCTTCATGGCCACGATGATGATGGAGGTGGATCCGTTTGTGCTGACAGCCCTGACACCTGACGCACTAGCCGCGGAGGACGTCGAGTCAGACCCTGGCGACCTGGTGTTCAACATTCTCAACGCCCCCACTCCCGCACCAGGGCATCCAGGGCAGCAGGGCTACGTGGTCAGCACCGACGACCCTCTAGGCCTTCCAGTCTCCTTCTTTACCCAGCAGGAGCTGCGGGAGCTGAAGATTGCCTATCAGCCCCCTACAGAGAACTCCCATGGAGAGCGCCTCTTTCAGCTGGAACTGGAGGTGGTGGACGGAGACGGCGCCGCCTCAGACCCCTTTACCTTCATGGTGACAGTGAAATCCATGAATACTCTGGTCCCAGTGGCTAGCCATAACAGGGGACTTGTGCTTTTTGAAGGTCAGTCAAGGCCCTTGTCCAGCACCCACAGCGTTCCTATCAGTGATAAAGATAACCTGGAAGAGGTGAAAATGGCTGCAGTCAGGGGCTTGAGACATGGGCAGCTGGTGGTGTTTGGGGCACCTGCTGGGTGCAAGTATTTCACACCTGCGGACCTGGCAGCAAGGCGAGTGGTGTATCAGCATGATGGCAGCAACACCTACAGTGACAACATCATCTTCCGGATGGAGGACGGACACCACCAAGTGGAATTTCTCTTTCCCGTCACCATCCTACCTGTGGATGATGAACCACCAATGGTCAATACTAACACAGGACTCTCACTGACGGAAGGGCAGGTGGTCCAGATCTCTCCCTTTGTACTGAGCGCTACTGATATTGACTCTGAGGACTCAACCATCCGCTTTGTGCTAGAGAACCAGCTCTTAGAAGGAAATAAGGAAGAGCCACAGTGGGAGCTGGCCCCTGGTTCCTCCCACTCAGGCCACTACCTGGGGGACATGTTGCTGCGGCAGGCTGAACTGCCTCTCTCCACCGAAGGTGGGGACTGGCACTACATGGAAAAGGAAGGGCTTTATGAGAAAGTGGTGACTGAGTGGCTACAGAGAGACATAATGGAAGGGAGACTCTTCTACCGCCATCTTGGACCACACAGCTCTCAAACTGTAATGGTCCAGCTGGCTTTCCATGTGCAGGATGACCATGACCCACCCAATCTCTCCAACCAGCACATTTTCACCATCAAGGTCCAGCCAGCGGATATACTGAGTCCACAGCTGTATCCAGGAACTACACTAGAAATGACTGTACAAGAATACCAACTCACTCACTTCCAGAAGAACTTCCTCCGATACATTGACCAGGACTCTGATGACCAGAACCTATGGTACACCCTACTGACACTCCCGACTGACACAGATCGAAACCACCAAGTCCGGGCTGGAGAAATTGTGCTCACTGATTCACCAGACACACTCATCATGCACTTCACCCAAGCCCAGGTAAATCAGCGTGAAGTTGCCTACCAGCCTCCACAGAAGTTAGGTATTGCACCACGGGTTGTGCAGTTTACCTACCAGGTGGAAGATGCTGCAGGCAATAGCGTGCCAGGCACATTTACATTATTCCTGCAACCTGTGGACAACCAGCCCCCAGAAGTCACCAACAGAGGCTTTACTGTCTTAGAGGGAGGCAGCTTTAACCTCAGCAGTAATGAGCTGCATGTTACAGACCCAGACACAGACATTGACCAAATTGTCTTCATATTAGTCCGCGGTCCCCAACATGGACGCTTGCAGTACTTTAAAAAATGTATGGTCCCAGGGGAATCTTTCACGCAAGCTGATATTATTAATGGGAGTGTCTCTTACCAGCATGGTAGAGACCAGACAACTACCAGTGACACTTTCCATCTGGAAGTAAGTGATGGGGTGCACCATATACCCATCACCATCCCAATTTCCGTGCATCCCAGTGTGGCTAACGAAAGTCCTAGGATCTCTATCACAAGTAGTTCATTATTGGATGTTTCTATAGATGTACTAGAGAATAAAGCCACTGAAATTACCATGGGTGTCACCCATGGCAAAAGGAAGGACGTACATCACTTGATGCTGTCTTTCATTGTAAAGGACAGCCCCAAATTGGGCACTATTCTGGTCAATGGTTTGCCCACAGAACGATTCACCCAAGAGGACCTCATCAGTGGGAGAGTAGCCTATGTCCACACTGGAGGTGAAGTTGGTTTTCAAAAGCAGCACGATGCCTTCAGCCTCATCCTCTCCAATGATTCTTACCAATGGGTAGTGGGGAATAGCATAATAGAGAGAGTACAGGTACGAGTAACTGTGCTGCCTGTGGACAATGTGGGGCCCAGGGTCTTGGTGAGGGAGTCCTTCATTGTCTATGAAGGTGAGAAGAACTCCTTGACCTTACAACATCTCCATGTTGAAGATGTGGACACTCCTCAAGATGAACTCCTCTGCACAGTGACTAGTCAGCCAGCCTCTGGCTACCTGGAAAATATTGCACCAGCTCCTGGTTCAAAAATGTCCCAGTCTGGCAGCCCCATCAGTGCTTTCTCCCTCAGAGATGTCCAAATGAGGCATATCAATTATGTACAGAGTATTCACAAGGGAGTAGAGCCACAAGAGGATCAATTCACTTTTTATTGCTCTGATGGCATCAACTTCTCCCCAAATGTCTTCTTCCCTATAATCATCCTACCCACCAATGATGAGCAGCCTAAACTTTTTGCCCATGAGTTTGAGGTACTAGAGGGGATGAGCCTGGTCATAGACACTCAGCTGCTCAATGGAGCAGATGCTGACCTGCCACCGAATGAGCTCCACTTTCAACTCACAGTCCTCCCTCGGCATGGACAAATCATAGAGCAGCTGGCTACGGGCAGCCAGCCCATCCACAGCTTCACCCTCAAGGAGATTCAGGAGGCCTCCACCATTGTGTATGAGCATGATGACTCAGAGACCAAAGAGGACAGTTTTGAGGTCTGGCTAAGTGATGGCAAGCACACCACCCACAGGAAGGTACCCATTGTAGTGACACTAGTGGATGATGAAACTCCTCAGCTGACTGTCAACAATGGGCTGAAAGTAGAGAAAGGACACTCTGAGATTATCACAAATCAGATCCTCAAGGCCACAGATCTTGACTCAGATGATAAGAGCCTCAGTTTTGTCCTCCATTCTGGGCCTCAACAAGGGCTTCTACAGAGGCTGAGAAAACCCAGAGGAGAAGTGAGGAACAATCTTACTCTGGGAATGAACTTTACCCAGGATGAGATTGACAGAGGCCTCATCTGCTATATCCACACAGGCCAAGAAGGGATTGTTGATATTATCCAGTTTGATGTGACTGATGGGGCTAACACTTTGACAGACCACTACTTCTATGTCACTATTGGCAACTTAGACAAGGTCTTCCCTGAGTTAATCAGCAAAAGGATCACCTTAACAGAAGGTGCCAGAGTGACCCTTACCAACAGTCTGCTTAGCAACAGTGATATCAACAGCTCTGATGAACATCACTTTAACATTACACGGGCTCCAAGCCTGGGTCACCTAGAAAGTTCTGACCATGCTGGGGAACCCATTGCCTCTTTCACTCAGCTTCAATTGGCTAGCAACAAAATATCCTATGTCCATACTTCAAATGATGAGAAAAAGATGGACAGCTTTGAGTTTCAAGTGATCAGTGAACTCTACCCTGTGTCCAGAACCTTCAGGATCTTCATCACTGATGTGGATCATAAGAAACCTATCTTGACCATCCATAGACTAACACTACAGAAAGAGGCTAGCCAACTGATCACTCCCCTTGAGTTGACAGTGGAAGACAAGGATACCCCAGATTATCTTATTCTCTTTACCATCACCCAGGTCCCCATGCATGGCAAGATTTTGTACAATGGTAGCCATCCTGTGACCACTTTCACCAAGCAAGACTTGAACAAGAACATGATTAGCTACAAGCACGACGGCAGTGAGACCACTGAAGATAGTTTCTCCTTGACTGTGACAGATGGCACTCACACTGATTTCTATGTCCTCCCAGACACTGCCCTGGAGACACACAAACCTCAAGTAATGAGGGTCCAGATAAGATCATTAGACAATAGGCTTCCCCAGATTACTATCAACAGGGGTGCCCTAACCTTGAAGCACCTTCACACTGGACATATGGGCTTCTTGATTACCAGTAAGTCTCTGAAGGCAGAAGATCAGGACAGTCCCCACAGGCTTCTGAAGTATAAAGTTACCAGAGGACCAGAGCATGGCTTCATTATCAGAACTGGCCTTGGAAACCAGAGCACTCGAGTGTTTACACAAGGTTAGTATGCATTCTTCCCTGACTATTCTGTCCCTCCCCTTCATTGGATCAGATCTCTCAGCTTTGTGTAAAATTGTCCTGACCTCAGACATTTGCACTAAGATTCTTGTTCTAATAAAATACAGTAAAGTATGAAATTATTCTAAAAACAAACAAAGCAACAAGTCCTTTTTCATCAATTTCATCAGAATGCCTATTTAACAGGAACTCACACGTATTTCATAAAGTTGTAGTTATACCTTAAAACTGCTAAACACAGGAGGACAGCTTCTACTTCTGAAATATTATAAGATAACCTTATATTAATTCTGATAATATCAGATTGATTTTGAATTTTAAGAACGACATATAGAAATCATTTGCATAGTTATTAGTAAGTCCAGATTTCTGAAGATGTTTGGTATCTAGATTTTGGATATAAATTCCTACATTGTTCATTTTTATTATACTATTCAAATGTAATTTCTACATCTAATAAAAGCACAGAACTATGTTTGCTTGAGATTATTTTTTTCTTTTATATTTGGTGTTACTACTAATTATGAACTAGAGGCAGGTCCCTCTACTTTCCCAGGTGATGTGATACCTGCTGGTTTTTAAATGCTCTTTATGTTGTCATAACTTTTTTAGATAGCTCTGTGCGTGAAATGTCCCACACATGATACATGTAAACCTAGATGCAAACTCAGAGGAAAACTTACACATGTTTAAAAAATAGTTTGGTTACATTTTCAGAATTTCTTCTAAAGCAAATGAAATCATATGTGGTTCTCCATGGCATGTGTATACCTATGTGACAAATCTGCATGATATGCACATGTATCCCAGAACTTAAAGTATAACAGAAAAAGAAATAATGCAATCACAACAGTGATAACATTTTCAAATATTTAACTTTATAAACTTTTTAAATAATAAAATCATATGACTCTATAAGAATTATTTCTACAAACACACACCTCCGAGAGCAAATTGTTTTTAAAATACTAATAATTACCAATATAAAAACATAATTATAGACCTTCATAACAAATTATTACCCAAGAGAATAGGCAATAGGAAAAACTCATGATTTTATTCTAATTTTCCTTTTTCTTAGGATGCAGCAATTATTCTTGTTTAAATTCATTTTGACAAATAGTTCATGAGTATCCACAAATATGTCAAGCTCTATACTTGTGCAGAAGATTCAAAACCAGATAGACCTGGCTCTCCATAGAGGGCCAGGATGTTGTAAAGCACAGGTAACTAGAACGCCCTCCTTGCTGGGCTTTAGCACCCAGAGAATATGCACATAGTAGCACTGTGACAAAGTCAGGGTTTCTTAACTTTTATTTTAGGTTTGGAAGTACATATATTTAAACTCATGTCATGCTGGTTTGTTGTACAGATTATTTCATCACCCCGGTATTTAAGCCCAGTACCCAGTAGTTATCTTTTCTGCTCTGCTCCTTCCTCCTACCCTCCACCCTCAAGAAGACCCCACTGTCAATTGTTCCTTTCATTGTATTCATGAGTTCTCATCATTTAGCTCCCACTTATAAGTGAGAATATGCAGTATTTGGTTTCCTGTTCCTGAATTAGTTTGTTAAGGATAGTAGCCTCTAGCTCTATCCATGTTCTTGAAAAAACAACAACAACAACAACAAAAACACATGATCTAGTTTTTAATGGCTGCATAGTATTCCATGGTGTATATGTAATATATTTTCTTTATCCAAAATATCATTGATGGACATTTAGGTTGATTCAGTGTCTTTGCTATTGTGAGTAGTGCTGCAATGAACATTTGCATGCATTTGTCTTTATGGTTGAATGATTTATATTTTTGGGGTGTATACCCAGTAATGGGACTGCTGGGTTGAAGGATAGTTCTGCTTTTAGTTCTCTGAGGAATCACCACACTGCTTTCCAGAATGGCTGAACTAATTTACACTCCCACCAACAATGTATAAATGTTCCCTTTTCTCTGCAACCTCACCCAGCATCTGTTATTTTTTGGCTTTTTAATAATCACCACTCTGACTGGGGTGAGATGGTACCTCATTGTGATAAAGTTTCAAACTAAAGTTTTATTTTTGACATTGTAGCTTTAAGAAGATTCATGTTCACTTAATCATTATTTTCAAATTTATTAATTGGAGTATTTCTATGCCTAATTAAAACTTTGAAGCTGTTAACATACTCATTTTCATTTGTGCCAATATGACTGTGTGTGACATTTGCTCTTTTTTTTTTTTTAGCTGACATTGATGAGATGAAGATATCCTATGTCTTGAATGAGGGCAGCAATGCATCAAAGGACATCTTCTATTTCTCTGTTGAAGACAATGGTAAGTCAATAATAAAACCTTCAAAAGGACTCGTGGTTAACTAAAATCAACATAAAATAGGAAAAAAAATTAAATAATTTCTAGGCAAGTACAGGTATCATATAGGCAAGTACAGGTATCATATAAGCAAGTAATCACAATCAATAATGTCATAATACAAACAAATTAATTCTTTTTGTTTCTCTTATGGTCCTGTGCCAAACGATTCTTGATAAATAACTTTTTAGGAAGAGAAAGCAATGAGGGATTTGATGAGTGAAATGTGAAGTATTTTATCTGATCTGGATCATGTGTGACATCATATAGGCAAGTGAATCTCACCTTCAAGAGATTCTGTGAATCTAGCTAGTGGTTTCTATCATTCTGAAACAAATTAGAAAATACATCTTCAGATTTTGTTGAGATTTTTATTTGCAGAACTGAATCTTATGGCTCCCTGACCTTAGATTCGAAATCCTTCTGGATGGGGTAAATATATATATATATATATATACACACACACACACACACACACACACACACACATCTCCCGGCATAGAGGAAAGCTTACTTTAAAACCGCCTGTTTATGCTGCAGCTTGGTCTGTGTACTATTAACTTCAAAGTAGAATAATGGGCAGCATCTAGTTAACAGAAGCCACTTTCTTTACACACCTAGGGATTCAATGATTATGTGGTCAGCAGAAAAATCATTTTGCAGTATGACAGGATAATAGTAGAAATTATCTCTGTGTGTTGCTTGCCACTCAGTAACCTCTTTCAGTACAAATCATTACTCATTCCCAGTAAGTAACCTGCATTTTCTGCCTAAATCATGTGTAATCAGTCAAGAATTGAATTTATTGTAAAGTAGTCCTCTATGAGAGGCCGTATGGTATACTGACTGGGTTTGAATCCCAACTTGTCCTGTGTGACCTTGAGTGAGTGACCTTGTCCTCTTCATTCATTCCCCCATGTATAAAGCGGTGATCTTCATACCTATGTCAAAGGGTTACTGAGAGGATTGACTAAGATCATAAATGTAAAGCACTTCATAAAAAGTAGGTGCTTTCACCCGATTCTTGTTCATTTTTTTAAAAAAATTTAATTTAAAAATAGGTGCCCATTAACTAGGTATTTTCTCGCCTTCTGAGGAGACTAACTACAGTTGAAACCACTGATCTCTCCTCCCCATTTCCTTCCTTAAAGTTTAAAACCAAATCTTCTTTCCCTTTCCCAAGTTCTCAAGAACCATAAGTTCCTAAAAAGATGAATGTATGCCTTTAAACAGGCTCATAAATAAATGTAAGACAAATGCTTTATCTTGAATATTTTCCTTTCTGTTTTTGAAACGATCGTCACTCTAAAAAGATGTACCTCTGACTCTGACACTATGCTTTGTGAACAATGTTAGAAACAAAAATCAGTCTGTGATGACACTGTAAGGTGGATTTTATGTAGCTACCATGTTTTAACTTTTTTCTGTGAGCTAGGCTGTCCTTAAAGACATTATGACTTTTGATCCTCACTACAAAATAAAAAGTAAATGTTATGATGCCCACTTTAAAATGAAGACACCACGGTTAAATAACTTGCCTGAAGTCATACAAGTAACAGGCAAGTTAACTGGAATCAAATCCAGGTCTTGCCAATTCCAAAGCTAGGGTTCTTAACTGCTAATGCTACACTCACCCTGCTTTGGGAAGCTGAAGCCACAGACAAAAGTTAGAGAACAGGGACAAGACTGCACTTCTTAACCTGACAAAGAAGCGCCTTGAGAATCAAAGTAATAAGAATGATCAAACACAGAGTCCAAAATATGTGAGGATACATTTGTTTATAGCTGGATCTTAAAGCATGTATACATAAACTAATTAAATATTTGCACATTCATTTATCCAGTGAATTTTTTTCCCTTGGATCCAGGGACAAACTGAAATTTTTAAAAATTATTTCTTTAAGATTTTTTTCTAGAAACAGGATCCCTCTATGTTGCCCAGGCTGGAATGCAGTGGCTCGAACTCTAGGCTTCAAGTTGGTCCTCCCATATCCACCTCTCAAGTAGCTGGTACTACAGGCATGTGCTGCCATGCCCAACCAGTGAATTTTTCAGTTGCCTTCCACGTACTGTGCATGGAGCTAAGATCCATGTCTGCTGATGATGGGCATCCCTGGAACAGCTGATAAAGGACTCACTTTAAACGTTTTATTATCTGTGATTTTGAAATATTATGAATCCATTGCTTTACAGTAGCTGACTTAATCTTTTTTCTTTCAAAATGCCCTCACTTTAAAAAGATTTCCCAAATGGAATGTTGAACATTTCCATTTGATCTATTAATAATTTTTTTTCCTAATGGCACATAGCACTAACAGAAGGTATTATATCCTTCTAGAAATAGATCTTTCACTGTCGGGCTGAAGTAGATGTCGTTGTTGTTGTTTCCATACCAATATTCAAACTGTTAAAAGAAGACCCTGCCCTGCCTCCAGAACTGACATTAGGTGTATGCTGCAGCTTAGCTCAGGGGTATTAAGAATGGAAATACTGGCAAAAATGACCCTCACGCTCCAACTTTGCTAAAATCTCAAGAGTGATACCATGAAGGCTTCTAATTAATAGGCTCTGGACCCAGGCTGTCTGTGTCCAAATCTCAGCTCAACTCTTGTAGTCTTACATATTTGAGAAACTGCCTGTGCTTTAGTTTGCTCACCTATGAGCTGAAGATAATGATGGCATGTGCCCCTTAGAATTATTATGAGGATTTTATTAGTTTCCTATTGCTACTATAACAAATTACCACAAACTTAGTGGCTTGAACCAACACAAATCTGTCATCTTACAGTTCTGGAGTTCAGAAATCCAAAATGGTCCTTAATAGAATAGAATCGAGGTTTTGACAAGGCTGCATTTTCTTTTTTTTTTTTTCCATAAGTTTTTGGGGGTACAGGTGGTATTTGGTCACATGAGTAAGTTCTTTGGTGGTGATTTGTGAGATTTTCGTGTACCCATCACCCGAGCAGTATACAGTATTTTTTGCCGCCTTTCCACTCTTCCCCCCAAGTCCCCAAAGTCCATTGTATCATTCTTATGCCTTTGCATCCTCATATCTTAGCTCTCACATATCAGTGAGAACATATGATATTTGGTTTTCCATTACTGAGTTAATTCATTTAGAATAATAGTCTCCAATCTCATCAAGGTCACTGCAAATGCTGTTAATTCATTCCTTTTATGACTGCATAGTATTCCATTGTATATATATACCACAGTTTCTTTATCCACTCATTTATTGATGGGCATTTGGGTTGGCTCCAAGATTTTGTAATTGTGAATTGTGCTGCTATAAACATGCGTGTGCAAGTATCTTTTTCAAATAATGACTTCTTTTCCTCTGGGTGGATACCTAGTAGTGGGATTGCTGGATCAAATGGTAGTTCTACTTCTGGTTCTTTAAGGAATCTCCACACTGTTTTCTGTAGTGGCTGTACTAGTTTACATTCCCACTGGCAGTGTAGAAGTGTTCCCTGATTAACAAACACATCCACACCAAAATCTACTGCTTTTTTAAATTATTATTTTTTGATTATTGCCATTCTTGCAGGAGTGAGGTGGTATCTTATTGTGGTCTTGATTTACATTTCCCTAATTATTAGTGATGTTGGGCATTTGTTCATGTTTGTTGGCCATTTGTATGTCTTCTTTTGAGAATTGTCTATTAATGTCCTTAGCCCGCTTTTTGATGGGATTGTTTGTTTTCTTCTTACTGATTTGTTTGAGTTTGTTGTAAATTCTGGATATTAGTCCTTTGTCAGATATATACATTGTGAAGACTTTCTCCCACTCTGTGGGTTGTGCATTTTCTCTGCTGACCATTTCTTTTGCCATGCAAAAGCTCTTTTGTTTAATTAGGTCCCAGCTATTTATCTTTGTTTTTATTGCATTTCCTTTTGGGATCTTGAAATCCTTGGCTAGGCCAGCGTCTAGAAGGGTTTTTCCAATGTTATCTTCTAGAATTTTTATAGTTTCAGGTCTTAGGATTAAGTCCTTAAGGCATCTTGAGTTGGTTTTTGTATAAGGTGAGAGATGAGGATCCAGTTTCACTTGCCTACATTTGGCTAGCCAATTATCCCAGCACCATTTGTTGAAAAGGGTGTCCTTTCCCCACTGTATGTTTTTTGTTTGCTTTGTCAAAGATCAGTTAACTGGAAGTATTTGGCTTTATTTCTGGGTTCTCTGTTCTGTTCCATTGGTCTGTGTGCCTACTCTTGTACCAGTACCATGCTGTATTAGTGACTATGGCCTTATAGTACAGTCTGAAATCAGGTAGTGTGATGCCTCCAGGTTTGTTCTTTTTGCTTAGTGGCTTTGGCTATACGGGCTCTTTTTTGGTTCTATATGAGTTTTAGAGTTCTTTTTCCTAATTCTATGAATACTTATGGTGGTATTTTGATGGGAAGTGCCTTGAATTTGTAGATTGCTTTTGGCAGTATGGTCATTTTCACAATATTTATACTACCAATCCATGAGCATGAGATGTATTTCCATTTGTTTGTGTTGTCTGTGATTTCTTTCAGTAGTGTTTTGTACTTTTCCTTCTAGAGGTCTTTTGATTCCTTGGTTAGGTATATTCCTAAGTATTTTATTTTATTTTATTTTATTTTATTTTATTGCAGCATTTTAAAAGGGGTTGAGTTCTTTTTTTTTTTTGTTTTTTTTTTTTTTGTTTTTGTTTTTTGAGACGGAGTCTCGCTCTGTCGCCCAGGCTGGAGTGCAGTGGCGCGATCTCGGCTCACTGCAAGCTCCGCCTCCCGGGTTTACGCCATTCTCCTGCCTCAGCCTCCTGAGTAGCTGGGACTACAGGCGCCCGCCACCGCGCCCGGCTAATTTTTTGTATTTTTAGTCTTGATTTGATTCTCTGCTTGGTAGCTGTTGGTGTATAGAAGAGCTACTGATTTGTGTACATTAATCTTGTATCCCATAAACTCTATTGAATTATTTTATCAGTTCTAGGAGCTTTC